ATCTAGAAACCTTCAGCGAAGCCGGAGTGTGCAGACTTTCACTCCCTCCACACTCACACCGCTCTCAGTCAACTGATTCATTAAAGGGAAACGAGCAAACAGCCAGTAATTACTTTGCTGTAGCCAAAACGTGCCGCAGAGTTTCCCCCGGCAGAGGGGAAGGGAACACACACGTTTGCTGTATGATGACGTTGTTAAGCTTACTCTCCCCCAGTTTTCTGCCTGTTGTGCCGTTCCCTCGGGGGAAGTGCATCCCTTGGTGTCTGGAGAGGAGCCTTCTTTGCTGAGATTTACCTTGAATGTCTTCTGAGCCCCTTTCCTGTGTGCCTTGGGAGGGCGCGGGCACAAAAGGAGGAGAAAAAAATACCACGGTGTGGGATGGCAGACTTTGTAGCATCAGTCCCTCCTGGGCAGGGGTCATAGGAAAGACCTCTTCCATTTATGGGAAGACTCTAACGTTTACCTGCAACAGAATCATAGAATCACAGAATAGTTAGGGTTGGAAAGGACCTTAAGATCATCAAGTTCCACCCCCCTGCCATGGGCAGGGACACCTCACGCTAAACCATATCACCCAAGGCTTCGTCCAGCCTGGTCTTGAACACTGCCAGGGATGGAGCATTCACAGCTTCCTTGAGCAACCCATTCCAGGGCCTCACCACCTTTACAGCAAAGAACTTCCTCCTTATATCCAACCTGAACTTCCCCTGTTTAAGTTTTAACCCGTTACCCCTTGTCCTATCACTACAGCTCCTAATGAAGAGTCCCTCTCCGGCATCCTTGTAGGCCCCTTCAGATACTGGAAGGCTGCTATGAGGTCTCCATGCAGTCTTCTCTTCTCCAGGCTGAACAGCCCCAACTTTCTTAGCCTGTCTTCATATGGGAGGTACTCCAACAGGAAGGTTTGTAAGTATTTTTCAGGCCTGCTGTAATTTCAGTGTTACTGAAGATCTTATGGGGTGCACAGAATACAGATGCTTTTAACATGGAGGGATGTAGAGGTGAGGAGCTGGCTATGCGCAGTGCTGGCCATGGCACCAATGGGAGCTGTGAGGGCTCTGCCACTTACTCTGGGTAAGCTCTGGGTCCCCCTGCAAGGGGGCTGATTACTGCCTGCAGCAGGACAAGGAACAGAGGCCATGGTGCGTGTACCAGCTCTGCAGCTCCCTCGACCACGCACTTACTGTTAAAACACTGCCAACTCAAGCTCTCCCCCAAACAATGGAGACTGCCTTTAGAAACCACCAAATGTCTCAGTGTTTATTTGGAAGTGCTGTGTTTATTTGATTGTTTTCCTAGTTTTATGCCTTTAACTCGCACTCAGGGCAACTTTTTCGGTCTTTTCTCTGCAAGCCAGAAGGCTGTAAATGTACTTTCTTTTTAAAGATGAAAGCTTGGAGTCTCAGCCACCTGATGGCAAGGGCTGGGGGCTGTGAGAACAAGGCAGAGCTCACACTAAAACTGCAGGAGTGGGCAAATGGACCCTTGAAGTAGCTGCTTCTCCCAGCTGAGAAATGAACTGAATGGAAAGAAAGGCCAGAAGGGCAGAGCATGTAACACACGGAGAACACCAGCTCTCCTTCCCTGCCCCAGCCAAAACAAAAAACCCATACAGAACCAAAGTGAAATCAGCCTTCCTGTTTGTACATGAGGCCTGCGATGGCAGGTGGCATCCGACTCTCACATCTCTGCCAAAAGCCAAGCTCAGCTCCCCGGGAAAATCTGGAGGTAGAGGCACAGATAGGGATATAAGTGGTCATCAGTGAATAGGGACCATACAAACAGTACATAGAGGCTCACACCATTTCCCTGTCCATTTGTTTAGTCTGAAAAATAATCACTTTTCTACAGAGGAAGGTGATTCAGAGATTTGCAACTCAGGCAGCTGCCAGGAGATGGGAAAACAGCTCTAAGGATGTTAAACTTATAGTGGGGAGGCAGCGCAGAGCCAGTGCTTCAGTGCAGATTGTACAATCTTAGCAAAACTCTCAACTTTCCAACCAAACAATAGCATTTGGACAGTGATCTATGGGCATGTAGTGACAGGACAAGGGGGAATGGCTTTAAACTGACAGAGGGGAGATTTACATTAGACACTAGGAAGAAATTCTTCCCTGTGAGGGTGCTGAGGCGCTGGCACAGGGTGCCCAGAGAAGCTGTGGCTGCCCCATCCCTGGCAGTGTTCAAGGCCAGGTTGGAGGGGGCTTGGAGCAACCTGATCTAGTGGAAGTTGTCCCTGCCCATGGCAGGGGTTGGAACTGGATGAGCTTTAAGGTCCTTTCCAACTCAAACCAGTCTGGGATTCCATGATTCTTAGGCTCTGACAGTGCTCAAGAAAATACCAGGCAGGATTGTTGAACTGTCCTAAGCCCCCTTCTCATTGAATGGTGCAGAGGTGCTGTGTGACGTGACGCCAGATGCTCTCTAGCAGCAATAAGGGTATTTGGATTTCAGTTTGATTTCATTGGATATGCCAACACGTTCTCCAGTTTGCCTCTTGAATTGAGATGCTACAGCGTTCACTTCTCTCCTTTCCAGCTGCTAGGCATGTGTCTTTGCTTCTCCAGGGGGAAGGAGGCAAGATGATCTTAAGGTCCAACCCTAACTGTTCTGTGATTCTATGATTCTTCTTTTTAGCCTGTCCTTAGAGCTATGACATGTTTAAAGGGAATTCATCCGTAGAGCAAAGGCATGGACGTTGGGTGTATCCCTCTTCCCATTGGTGGGCTGTGCACTTTTCTCAGGTGCTCCATCTGCAGGGCTAACTCCATGGAAATCACATCAGGAGGGCAAAGATTGTATACAACATGCAGAAGGTCTTCTGGAGAGCAGCTGCCTTTGGAAAACCAGCTAAAACTACTGTTGGCGTAACAAACCGAATATTTCCAGGATATAAAAATAAGGGAGGAAAACAGCTTTACTGGCTATTGTCAGAAAACAGAGGCTTGCATAACAACAGCAACATTTTCCATACACTATGCAATTAAGTTACTTGCTTGGGACTTAAATTGTAAGTCAGTTTAGACAGCGTGGCCAGCTGTAACATAACACATGGTTACAACACACATAGTGAATGTTATTACTTGGTGTCAGTGTTTATTGAACAGAATGGGGATTTGAGAAACAAGCTTTGGCTCAGGAAACACTAACAAAGTGATGGCACTTAACATCTCTAAAGCAACACAGCTTAGAATGTTGGGGAATAAATTCTCCAAAGATAAAATACTTTGGAAAATACCTGCTAATCCCTTTAAATCCCTAAAAGACAACTTATTTTTCATCCTGAGTAATGATCAGCCACAGATTTCACCACTAATCTCAGAAAGATCCTGTGGGTTTTTTGGACAAGCAAGGGAGACTCCAGGTGTAGATTCAGTGGCTGATTTTGCAGCAGAGGTTCCAGCTGATCTCACTGGAAAGTGTTTTATTTGCTGCTGTCTGCTGGTCCCTTGCTGTCTTCTTTTGCTACTGCAGGAACCAGGGCCAGCAAACAGCACTTCCCTCTCATTTTTAAGGAGAAGAATGGATGCTCTAGCACGTTGCTTCATCTCAGTTGCAAGACTGGAATGAGACTGGGCTAAATCAACTCTGTTGAAGCTCCATAGAGTCTGGTGGGCTTGCATGAGAGATAAATCTGATCCAGGGTAAGAATAACACGAAATACACATATGGGCTGGGTTAGTGCATTGTTTATATAGGGCCAGACCATGGAGAGCTGCCTGCATTGCAAAATCCCCCTCCCAGCTGGCTCCATCAGGAATCCTTTGGGAAGCACAGCATGGACAGACTAGCAACAAAATGTGGCACAAACAAAGAATCTCCCCTGTCTTGTGCTCACTGGCGCTGAGAGTTGAGGACCATGTCAGCAGTGGTGCATGGGCTCAGCTCAGCAACTATGCTGAACCAGCATCTCAGGGAGCAGCAGAGGTCAGATTGCCATGCCCTCCAGTGGGAGTGAGCTTATAAATAGAGTTTTGGAACAAAAACAGAAGCCATCCACCACAGCTATTTGTGATGACCTCAAAATAAAGTTAGAATGGGGTTGCTTTCTGTGCTGCTTAGCAGAGTGGCTGAGCTCTCCAGCAGAACAGGAAATAGCTGAGGAGCTGTTTGAGTAACCAGAGTCGTCAGATCAATGGAAAAAGTGGTTTGAGTGCATTTTGTGAAAGTGCAGTCATCAATTGTGAAATTACTGCAGTTTCTGTTCCTAGATCAGGGCTGTTGTTCATGCCAAGGGGGCACAGGTCTGCCACTGCTGTGTCTGAAAGCAGAGCGCTTCTTTTGGATGATGTACACAATGTGCACACAGGGGTGAAGCAGACATCTTTCCCTTCGGTGTCCTTGGATTCAGATTAATCTCTCAACATCATCAGGATCCTACGTAGGGTGCCTACCATGCCATTTGGAAGGAAAATAAATTTGCTCTTACTGGGAGGCATGGGGAGGTCAGGGCAGGTGAGGGTAAGAGCAGTTCTCCATCTCAGAATTGAGGCTGGTCCTACACGTTAGTGACACTCGCAGCTTCTTTTCATGTTTTGCAAGCTCATCTGAGACTTGAATGAATGCCAGATTAATCTTTCAAGGGAAGCGGAGCTGGGTTGAAAATATCTCCAGCACAGATAACTCAAAGGAAGTGCAGCTTTTAAAAAAAGCATGTGAAATGCCTCTAAGAATCTACCTGGGGTTTCCTGTTTTCTTCTTTTCCTCTTTCTCTTCCCTCCCCTTAGTCCCACGTTTTGTCTCTTTGCTGCCTCATCATGTCACCACTTACTTTTTTTCCCCTCTCGTTGTTCCCACAGAGGCATACAAAGGGTTTTCGATCCCGTCACATGCTCCAGCTGGAAGTAGAGCACTTTTCTCCGGGGTTTTGTCAGGTTTAGCTGCAGGCGCTCCCCAGCTTTTCGCTGATTGTCTTTTCAGCTGCCCTCCGCTTGCGACACTTCGCGCTGCAGCCGGGCAAAGGCCGCTGCAAACTGCAAAGCGGAGGCGATGCCGTGAGTGCGGGGAGCGCAAGGGGCTGCAGGGGTGCGCGCTGGGGCGGCCGTGGGGAGGGGAGCGGCGCGGCGCGGCGTGGGAGAGCAGGGGTAAGACGGACAGGAAGGGAGCGAAGGGGAAAGGCAGGTGGAAAAGGGAAATGACCGCGGGGGCCAGGAAGGCTAAAGAGAATACAAGGGAAGCTGCGAAGCCATCTGGGAATCTGCTTTAGCCACGTGTAAATCGCAGGCGTCCTTGCGGCTTCCCGCTCTGCGCAGAGCGGAGCAGCAGCGCCCGGAGGAGGCCGGGCAGAGCCGGGATGGCGGCGTGCGGCTGCGTGCGGTGAGCCTGCGAGGGGACGCGGGTGTGGGGACACGGAGGGACCCAGTGAGTGGGTGCCCCGAGGTGGGGCACCGGGGCGGGCAGAGCTGGGCCAGAGGCTGGTGGAGCCGGCGCTCGTGGGTGATGGCACGGGCAAAGCGGGAGGAGATGTGGATGCTGTGTGGTGGAGGCAGAGTGGGAAGTCGGGGAGAAGCCGAGTGCAAAAGCGGATCAGGGGATGGAAAAGGAGGAAACTGAAGGGAAAAGTTATGTGAAAAGTTGCAGGTAGTGAAAAAAAGCATCGTGGAAGGCTGACATGGCAAAGCAGGGTAAAGTGAGGAGAGGTCGGATAAGATTTTAAAAGCACTTTATGATGCCTGGGGCAGGGTTTGTGGCAAATAGCTAAATCTCAGCCAGCCTCCCTTTGTGGGGAGAAACAGGCCCCTGCAGAGCACAGTGTATGTGACCTGCCTGCACAGCATGAGAGTTGCCGAGGCTGAGCAGCACTGTGACTGTAAAAGAATTTAACTAGCATAGATGCAGTCGTCTACACTGAACATGGCTAAAAATAGGCAAGATGAATTGCAATCCCGAGGACAAAATGTTACAGTAAATGAATACAAACCATCTCATGTTATTTAGCCCGGCTCATTCATGCCTCCTCCATGCGTGCGCATGCTGGAGATGTGTGCCAGGTGCAGGGTTTGTGCATGTTAAGTGCGCATCTAAACACCAGCAAGTACCTGTCTGGGATGTTCCTGTCTCTTAGCTTCTGTGCACCTCAGACCTGTAAAAACTGGGCCATGATGCTGGAGCAGGCTGTAGTTCCTCAGGTCTTTGTTGTTTGAATCATAAATCGTTCCTAGGAGTCTCAAGGAAGAGCAGGGAGATGTAGTGCTGTTGCAGGGGGTGCTGCTGCTGACCCCATCACTCCCTGCTTCACTATGAAGACTCTGCAGGGTTAATCCAGACCCTCACCTGGTTTTAGCTGAGCTCTGTAGGCTGCCTTCAGCCTCCACCAGAGGTGTGGGGGTCACTTTGCTTTGTGTCGCACTGAGAGGTACCAGTGTGACAGGGAAGAAAGGTACCCAGCCCCTGCTGGTGCCATTTGCCCCATGGCACCTTGTCCTGAAGGAGAGGCAATTTGTCTGCCCTGGTGAGAGAACTGGTTAGGAATGAGTAACACTGCATCTCTGCAGGGACACCCATGAGATGTGCCAAGAGAAACCCAGGTACACGCTGTTACTTCATGGGATCCCTCATATGTGGACTAGGCTGGTGTGGATGGTCTGAGCAGGGCATGGATCTGGAGCCCACCTGCATCATTGGAGGTGTCCTCCGGCTGCCCCAGCCGGCTCCCTGCAGCCCTGCCCTCCTTTCCCGTCCTAGTCCCCGACCTTGTCCTCATCTCCAAAATTAGGTCTGCAGGTCCCTCACCTCATCTTCAAAACTCTCTGTGCAATTAACTTGCACAGGGGTGTCCTTGGCAGAAGATGTCCCCAAAGGATGGGCAGCGAGAGGATGTGCACAGTTTAACTGTAGCTAGGGCATGATGGTTACTTGTAGGAAACGCTGTGAATGTGTATCTCTGCACCAAGAAGTGTCAGTTTGCTTATGGAGATCGTGAGCCTCTGGGGCTACCTGAGCTTATTCAACACTGTGGGAGTGAACAGATTTTTCATCTAGTGACGGTGACGTTGGGCTTTTAGTGCTCGGGTTTGATTAGTCGCAATTGAACGCCTCTTTCACTTAGCCCTTTACTGCAGGCTGCTCATTCTCATGCTGCGCGTTTCCTCTGCCTGCAAAAGCACTTAGAGAAGCTTGGATCCCCAGGTCACATATTCTCAATATTTATGCCCCCTGGATGGTTTCCCAGGGAAGCTCTTTCTCTTAGAAGTCAAGGAAAGATGTATATTTGTCAAAACTAATCTTAACAGGGTGTAGAATTCATTCTCAGGCAGCAGGTGGATTAGAAAACCTTATTTTTGTGCAGTTAATTTTGTAAGATCTCCCTTCCACCTTCTCTATGATTTCATTTGCTTCCGTGTCCTGGAGTCTCAAAAGACAAGGGTTTCTATGGGCCATCTTGAGAGCACTTGCTGGCAGCCCTCGCAGGAGCAGCACAGAGGTGGCTGTCCCTGTATTCACGTTAGCTGTTGAAACATGTTGTCTCACAAGAGCTATAGGGTAAATTCCCACTAAATTCCTTATCCTGTTCGGACGGGATTAGTGAAAAGGTCCTGGTAAAGAACACTGAGGTCAGGAGATACACAGAGTTTATATGTGGGATTGTTAGACCAGCAATCTAATGGGCTTCAAGTGAAATATCTAAGAGCATTGCGAAAACTCTTCCATTCCTTCCTTTCTACTTACCCTGTCCGGTAATAAGACATACAGTTTGCATGATGAAATTGTCAGGATGTGCACACAGTCTTGGAGAAGAAATTGCTTGTTGGCTCTGTGCAGAGCCACGCTGGGAAAGGAGCTCTGCTGCAGGCTCCTCTGAGCCCACTCACACCAAGGGGAGAAGGGGATGTGGGTCCATCCAAGCCGCCTGCTGTCAGCTCTGCAGGCTGAGAGAATGCAGCCACATGTGGGGTTTCAGCAGCAGCCATGAGCTGATGATGTGGAAGGAACGGGATGGGATTTCTGCATGGCATGGGTAGTGTTGCACAAGAGCCTCCACGGTCGATGGCTTGGGCTGTCTTTGCACTGAGGCTCCTCTCTGTGCTCTGCCGATGGGGAGGGGGCTGCAGAGGCACTGTGTGGCCCATGGCAAGGGCCAGCAGCTTTCTGCAGGGATGGAAAGCTGTAGTCAAAATGAGAAGGCAACTCCTGTGCTGCTTCATCTTCCTGGAAAACAGGAGCGTGGCTCAGAGCAAACACACCGAATGGCATTCACTCCGATCTGGGCCACGTAAGCTGTACTGCTCTCACAGCCAAAACTCCCAGTAAGAGCATTTGCCCAGTTTTCTATTAAATACAGCACCTGAGAAGGTGAAAGCCTTGGGTTTGTAACTCATTAGACCTAACATCAGAAACGATGAGGTGCATCACACAGATCAGCATCAGCCCCATGGCAGCGTCAGGCACCGCAGGAGCAGGACCCCAGAAGGTGGATTTTCCCCCCATAGTTGGTATGAGCTCCAGCACGAGCTGTGCAAGGCTTGCAGCCATGGGTGCTATCAGCAGAGCATCTCTGAGCATCCTACACAGCTGGGCTTGGGGGGCAAATGCTTCCCCTGGTGTGAAGTCCCTGAGCTGCCTTAGCTTCAGCTCAGCTCTCAGGTTTACAGCAGATGAAGATCAGGCTGCAATCTCAACCGGTGACATAAATAACACACAGCTATGTTAGGATACCCCACCCTTTTCCTGCAGTTTTAGTTAGAGGGGCAGTGCTGCTCGTGATGCTTTATTGTGACAGAGAATGAAGAGAAACACAGAAAAACAAGGCTATTTGGTTTAAGGTATGGATCTGGGCTTCTTGTCTAGGGAGGGGGAGAAGGTACACTTTCTTCAGTAGGTGTTTTTAGATTGTATTTACTTAAGCAAGGAGGAGTGAAGTAGACCCAGTGATTATTATATATAACCTTAACTGTGGTTGTATCTCCAAGGAAGAGTTTAAATGGGAGAGATCATGTGTGTGCTGTCCTAAATTGCTTCTCCTGGATGGCATATCCAAATGAAAAAAGTTTTCCAAGTATATGGCAGCTGGGTAACTGGGGCCTGTTGTTCTGGCATGGCTGATACTTGCACACCCTCCTGGCTCAGGTGTGTTCTTCAGCATCCAAAGGCTGCCACTGAGTAGTTCAGCTTCCAAAGAGTGAGCGCAGCACAGTTGGGCTGACACAGTGAAGTTGGTGGTGGGTCATAAAGGTGAGTGACGAGAGCTGTAGGACCCCATATGGGTAACCACACAGCAGCCACGCTCAGTGCTGCTGAGAGATCTCAGGACCCCTGTCAGAAGTGGTTCAGTGTGATGGCTCAGGGGACCATTCCTTTTGGAAGCTCATGCTGGCTGTCCACTTCTCTTACATGTGTTTGAAATTTTTAATCCATCTATTTATGCTCTCAAGCATCTGTACCTGCTCCAGTTACATCAGACACTGCTATGGCAAAGCCTTTAAGGGTGTATTAGAGCTGTAGGGTTCCCTGGATTTCTGCATACTGTGTGGGCATCACTCAGACTGAGCAGCACTGGTCCAGGGTCTTCAAGTGGCTTGTGTATGGCTGTGTGTTGCCCTCTGAGCGCTAGGACTTTAATCCTGCTCTGTGTGAGGAGGGAAACTGTGCTGGAGCTTCACTAGCTGACCTAGAGATTGCCATGACATCTTCAAAGAAACTCAGTTGAACCTAGCTGCCTGGAAAGTCTCAGAATGTTGTATGGGATGAGCCTGAGGCACATCAGGAGGGCTTTCAGGCAGTAGTTAGTCCATCGTATGCCCTCATATGGGAGCTGTGCAGTTGAGGTGCTGGAGCTGTGCCCCAGCTTCCCATCCACAGGCCTGCATGTTTCATGTTGTTGGCCTGGAAAAGGCAGGATTTGCAGGTAGAGCTGGGTGGTGGGTATGTGTTGATGCAAGAGACATTCCTAAGGGTGAAGCTGATGCACTGGCACCAGAACAGGGAGCTGATGGAGGTAGCAAGTGGCACAGCCAACTTGCACCCCCAGGAGTCTTGGGGACCAACATGCATCATTATTTACCAGGGAAGGGTTTTACTGGGACTGCACTGCCTGCTTTCCAACACTGTGCTCACTGTTTTTCCTTACCATTTTTCTCTGGATGTGGGTAGTCCAGGCAGCCCTGTTGGATGCTGCTCCATGCTGTGTGCCACTGGGCTGCGTGGCCCCATGGGAAGGGATGTGCTCCCTATCCTCAGCATCTTCTCTGTGGCAAGGGTTGTCTTTTGCTTCCTTGGTCCAGCTAAAGCTGTTCCTCCCAGGTGGGCTCTGTCTATGCCAGGATTTCCACAGAAATTCCCCACTCCTCCTGCACAGGGATTTTCTCCTCCAACTGGAGGGACTGGCTCCGGTCAGCATCCCATCAGGCTGGGAGCCCTGCCAGCTCCCAGGCAGGCTCCACTGCCTGTGCACAGCCAGTGCAGGACAATAGGGGTTGTCTCCGCCTGGCTGCTTGCTGCTGGGACAGGCAGCCCTGGGCTCTGCTCTGGGAACAACGAGGGTTTCTAATCCTGCAGGAGTTTCATCTTTCAATTGAGGGTCTATTACAGCTCCTTGCAATGATTAGCTCTACAAATGACAATAATCAATAATTTGGCTAGTGCTGGGTCTTCTCTTTCAAGGATCACCTCCAAAAGTAACCTCTGAAGCAGCAGATTAGGTGAAGTCGGACATAAAAGCAGATGTTACAGGGGTGTGTGACCTCAGGGATGCACTGCCTCATGCTGAGGGGAGTCCTTAACCTCTCATGCAAGAAGAGAGAAGCAGTGTGCTTCCTTCTTCTGGTGGCAGCTTGCCAAGGTGAGCAGGTTAGCGCCGATAAAAACATCTCTCTGCAGCCCTCAAACTGGGGCATGCAGGTTTCCTCTTTGAATTTGCATTTCTCTTGCAGCCCCTTTCAGCTGGCCTGAGGTTCAGTAACGTGCAGGTGGAAGAGCCCTTGCGAGGTTAGTTGTAAGTGACTTGAGGAGGAGCAGGAGCAGTAGCATGCAGCCAGGCACACACATGCAAAACCCATAAACCTCGCCTTCTGTTACAGGAGATGAGCTGTGTGTTTCTCAGCATGGTGTTGCTGTCACCACACAGCTACTCCAGTGTGCTGCAGCCATAGGTGGTGGCAGGAGTAGCACACCAACATGTATGGCATGCATGAGCTGAGAAGGATTTTACATGTCCTGTGTGCTGTGCTGCAGAGGGTGCACTGGGACAGAGGCTCTTGTATCTGAGTGACCAGAAGCACTGTCCCCCCTATCAGCTCCTGCTCTGTGGTGTGAGTGCTTCCCACCCATGTATCAACAGTGCCTGCATTGTGTTTACACCACATGGACCCAGTTCCAAATCTTTCAGCTTTTCCTCCATCCTTACTGGAAAGCAAAACTCACTGAAATTTAAGTGAAGTTTTTTGCAGAAAAGGACTGTTAAAAAAACCCAAGCAAACAAAAAAATATCCTTCAGGATTTGGCCCAGTATGAAGGTTACTTTTGCTCTTGGTTTCACAGAAATGACCAGCACCCCTAGTTGCTCTAATAGTTGAGGTCAGAATAAGAACAAGCTGTTTATGGGGTGGGGGAGTGAGAAAGAGCTGGTAAGTCTTTAAACCTGCACCTCTGTGGCTCTTGCTAACAAAACCTGACACAAAAGCCCACTCATTAAGATGGCTGGTCATGGGCCAGCGGGTGCCATTCATTAGACACCCTGGAGTAGAGCTAAGCACTGTGTCCTGCATCATCCGTTCACTTCAGACTGGTCCCCAGCTCTGCAGACAGGTTCAGTGCAGCCTGGGGGAGGCCGGAGTGCTGGCTGCATAGGGATGCTCCATTGCAGGGACCCTTCTGGCGAAGATCAGGCTGTTAGGCTGGGACCTGCAGTACCTCCATTAGCAGGGGGCATCCTGAACAGTGAGCAACTGCCCTCGGGTTTCTGTGTAGGAGGCACGTAGACAGAACAAAGGGGAATGGCTTTAAATTGCAGAGGGGAGATTTACATTAGACATTAGGAAGAAATTCTTCCCTGTGAGGGTGCTGAGGCGCTGGCACAGGGTGCCCAGAGAAGCTGTGGCTGCCCCATCCCTGGCAGTGTTCAAGGCCAGGCTGGACAGGGCTTGGAGCAGCCTGGTCTAGTGGAAGGTGTCCCTGCCTGTGGTGGCAGGGTTTGGAACTGGATGAGCTTTAAGGTCCCCTTCAGTCCAAATCATTCCGTGGTTCTATGGAGCTGGTCTGGCCCAGCTTTACCTGCTGCACCATCACCAGAAGCGATAGGTGTCTCCCTACCCCACCCGTGATGCCAAAGAGAGGACAACTGCCCCAGGGGTAGATGTGTTGGGTCTTGGCTGTTGAGTGTGGTTGCTGCTACCAGGGGCTTTGCACTGCTTCCCTGGATTTGGATGTTTTCCTGAGCATTGTGCTAATCCTTATTGTTCTTTTCCCTTCTCTAATTTTCCTTAATTGTCCTTTCTCCCTAGCACATCAGTGCCATTAACTCTAAGCACCAAATCCAGAGGGCCACTGGAAGTGCTAATTTCCTGGGCAGGCTCCTGAAGGCTCTGCAACCTGCTTATGAAACTCCTGTCCTTTGGTGGAAGCAGTTTGGTGGTGCAGCGATTTCTGCCTGCAGCCATCAGAGGTGACTTGTGTCTATCAGGACCTGGGCAGTTTCCTTGCCCCTGAAATGCAGAAGGTTCTATTAGATTATAGCCTTTATAGCGTCAGACCTTGGTGGTAATAGATGATCTTTTAATCTGTTTTTGTTGTACAGGATGTACCACAAACAGGCCTCGATTCCTGTTTACTTTAAACACTATCGCAGCATTACTACACAGACTTTCCTGATTATTTCTCCTCCCCTGCCACAGGCCTTCCAGGTTTTCAAATGTTTCGTATTTGTACGTCACACAAGTCAAAGATTTTTATAATCAATATGGTAAGGAGAACTGAAACACAAACCTTTCCAATAGAAAAGAGATTGACGTAATTTGTCCAGAGGAGGTGGATATGGCCCCACCATGACTGCAAGTACTGGACATGCTGCCCTACTTTTTGGGAGCTCCTGGGGAGGAGCAGAGAATAGAGGTGGGGGGATGTGTGGGGGTATGAAAGTAAAGCTTCCCAGCATCTCCTGGCTGATTTGGGCCTCTCTGTCCCGTTGTTTAAATGGGACCAGCCAGGCTCTCAGCACTTGCGAGCACTTGGTGAGTGTTCGGGGCAGGCACAGGAGAACTCCGCTGGGAGTTATGGGGTGCAGCCCCCCAGCTGGGGATAGCAAACATTGACTGTCAGCTCTGTGGGAATAATCACATCCCAGGCATCCTTGACAGAATATCTGTTGGGCAATTGAAGTGTGCTCCACTTCAGAAATGAGGAAGGCTTGGTAGAGAGCTCAGCACCCATTTACTTTGGATACCTCTGTTTTGTAGCCTGTTTGGAAATAGGCAGGGCTGAAGAGCAGCTACTGATTAGGACGCTGCTTTATGCTCATAAACATGTCCTGAAGGGTCTCAGCCTTCCACAGTCCAGTGTAGTGACCCTGAGGGGAAAACACTGTCTTCAGTGAGTATCCAGTGCCTGGATCCCTGTTCAGAGCTCCTCTAGACTCACTCCTCAACCTTTTGACTCGCCCCGCAGTTTCCCAGGCACCCATGGCCCTCCATCAGGCAGCTTCTAGCATGGCTCCGTAACTCATGTGTGTTCTTTGTCTTATTTATGACTGTAAAGTTTGTTTCTTCCAGTCCAGCAGAAAACAAGTCGATGTAGAAAACAGTATGTGATTCAGTTTGTGGTGGTGCATCTAATTTACAGGAACTGGCTCCTTTGTACAGTACATGCTGTGAAATAGCAGGTCTGCTTTGGCACTGACTGGACAAACAGAGGTGACTAAGCAATCCAGTTGATTTATGGCAATAGCCTTGCACAGAAGATCCGGGAAACCTCTGGGAAAACTGCCTATAACTTAAGGAATTGCCACCTGCGAATTATAAAGGCTCCCGGGCACAGCCGAGACCTGTTGTCAGAGCCTAAGGAGCGAAACATGAGGCAGGAGAGCACCTAGTTTTTCAGGCACCGTTGCTCCCAGAGCGTGCCACGTCTTGGACTGTTGGCAGCAGAGAGAAGAGCGTCTTCCCAGTGGGACTGCAATGCAGAAGGGCCCGAGGCAAGCCAGCAGCGATGGGCTGTTGTGGGAATTCCTGTTGCAGGTAGGGTTTGTTGGGGTGGACTGGGAGGTGTAAAAGGTGCTTGGAAAAGTTGTGGCGTGGCTGATTCTCTGTGACAGAGACTGGGGAAAGGGAAGGTTCAGGTAGAATAACTGCTTGAGTGCTGCAGAGCAGGGGAAGGGCTGAGGTCTCCTTTCAGGGGTACCGAGTGCCTGCACTCCCGGGAAATGAGTGGGACTTGAGGATGCTCATTCCTTGTGTCAGGCAAATCGTGGGCCACTGGCTGTTAGCAGGTGCAGAGAATGCTTTCATGAATAAAGAAGCAAAGTAATTTGCTTGATTTGACTTACTCTCATGATAAAAAGGCCATCCATCATGAACAGCAATATTTATGCAGTCTCTGAACATGAGCTGTGGTGTGTCTGTGGGCTGCTGTTAGACTTTAGATTTGGTTTTCTTTTTGCCTAACCCGCTGGCATCCTCAGAAGGGCATCCCACAGCCCCACCACCCTGCAGTTTAGGTTTTACTGGGTTGAGCTGCTGAGAGATTTTCGTTCCTAATGGCAGCTCAGATTCACTGAGCCACTGTAGTAAGAGCTGTTTTGCCAGGGAAGGGCTTTTTGGAATGAAGCAGGTGTGGGGAAGTACAAAAGAAGTGGCTGTTTGAGGGCATTCACTGGGAGGTGGGAGGGGAGATGGGCCCAGCCATCAAGGGCTGCTCTTCCTTCCCTCCTCCTCCTCTTCCTCACATCCCTTTTCCTTCATCCCTCACCACCCCATGCTGGAGCACGAGCCCACTGTTGTCCTGCTTTTCTGGTGCCTTGCACTGCCTGTTTAGCCTGTCACAGCCACCCAGAGAGTTCTGGCAGTGTCTTAGCTCCATTCTTAGCCCCTGAGTGCTTGGTGTCCATACCTGCAGGGCAGCCCATCAGAAACACCCTGCCACATTTCACAAGCTGGTGCCACCACTCACTGAGAAGGACCCTGCCTGCCCTTCCACTCAGTGGTGACAGAGCCCACTGACCTGTGGCCCTCAGTGGTGGTGTGTGACTGTCCCAACAGGGATGGAGAAACAGACATCCCACATCACCAGGGGAATCTGGGATTGACAGACACCAAGTGCAGTCATTTCTTCAGAGGTAACAGGAAAACAAAGGGATCAAATGCTTGCCACATCTTCTAGGAAAACAGGAGTGACCTCCTGGGAGGGATGGCATGTTTCCCACCTGCCCTAGCCTATGAAGTGGAGGGTCTCTGGAGATGTGTTAGGGACCTCAGCTTTGATGAGTGTGTATGGAGAAAAATGCTACAGAAAGGATGAACAAAGCTAAAAATGATAGAATCACAGAATGGTTTGTGTTGGAAAGGACCTTAAAGCTCATCCAGTTCCAACCCCTTGCCATGGGCAGGGACACCTTCCACTAGAGCAGGTTGCTCCAAGCCCCCTCCAAGCTGGCCTTGAACACTGCCAGGGATGGGGCAGCCACAGCTTCCTTGAGCAGCTTGTTCTAGAAAATGAGAAGTTTGTTGCTTGCACTTACAAGTCTGAGTGTGTGGGGTGTGAAATACAGGATTTACTGGTGGAGGAGAGTGGAGAGCAAAAGGCAGATGCTCTGCCTGTTGATCCAGGCGCAGGTGCTGAGGTATGTAAAGCACTGCACAGAGTGGAGGAGGGAGTTTGGCAGCATACCATGGAAATTACTGCTTGTCTCTGAGAGGGATTGATTAATGAGATCAGGTTGGGAAGAGGCTTGCCAGGTGACAAGGACTTTACAACATCCTCTCAGCTTCTTGTGGGGCACCACCCAGAAACACAGATCAGAACTCTGCCCCTGGGTCACGTTGTATGTGTGGCCCTGCTGCACATCTCCATTCCTTAGGTCCAGGGTCTCTGTGCCAGCTGTACGGGATTCCTGCATGTG